TTCTTCAAGCAAAAGGCAATCTGAAAGTTGGGAAGCACCATTTCAAAAGGTAAATTGTACATCAAGGAGAAGAATAAATAAAAGTTTTCTGATGACATTACATTCTTAGATATTTCTGGCTGTATTGAGGAAATTGAGATACTACAAAATGACATGAATCAATTTGTAACTTGGACAAATATTTGGTAGATTACCTTTAATTATATTAAGTACAAGGTAACACACTTGGGTTATTGTAATTTGGATCCCACATTAAAAATAATAGGTCATCAAGAAATTAATGTCGCGTTTTGGAATACTTTATTAATCATCCCCCAAAAAAAATACATCATGTATAATAGTTAAATGAACCACCTAAACAACACATTAATGTAGCCTATATAATGTGCAAAGTTTAGTATACTCTAATCCCTTATAGTGATGACACAATGAGACACAAATTTGGCATTTAATGCTGTTTTATTACAAGGGAAACAATGCCTCTGTAGCCACAAAGAATACTGAAGAAGTTTATGGAAATGTTTTGAATGTTCGTAAGTGTCAACGATGGTTCAGCAAATTATGTTTTAACCTGAAAAACTGTGATGGCAGGGGCCAACATATTGGAATTCATATTGATGCTCTGAAGACACTTGCTGAGTCGAACTCAAGGCAATGAATTTGTGAAATGGCCTTGAAATTACATGTCTTTCATAAACCAATACGTAAACATCTAAGGAATATGGGAAAACTCCATAATGAAGATGTTTGGGTGCCTCACGACCTTTCTGATGATCTTTGTTTCCAATGTGTGAACGTTGCTTCGTCTTATCTGACACGTAATAGGTGCGAACCATTTTTGGACAAAATTGGCACCAGTGATGTAAAATGGATTCTCTATGTGTATATTAAATGCCAAAAACAATGGCTCAGTCCTAGACAAAAACCACTTCCAACTCCAAAACCTGGACTCCATCTGCAGAAAGTGATGCTTTGCATTTGGTGGGACATCCAAGGAGTAATTCATTTCAAACTCCTCATTCCACAGCAAACTGTCAATGCAGAGATCTATAGTCAGCAACTAAAATGTTTAAATCAAGCCCTTCATCAGAAATGCCCTTCACTCGTCAATCGGAAAGGTGTTCTTCTCCACGATAATGCACGTCCACATGTGGCACGTTTAATGCAACACAAGATTATGGAGTTGGGTTCGGAAGTTCTCCCCCACCCACCATATTCTCCAGATATGGCACCATCAGATTATCATCTTTTGTGTTCGCTGCAACACAATCTTAATGGGAAAACGTATGCAAATGTGGAAGGTGTAAAAGAGGACATCATGTTTTTGGCTTCAAAGCCAAATGATTTCTTTAATCAGGGCATTAACAACGTGGTTGTAAGATGGAAAAGCATCATCAATAATAATGGAGACTATTTCATTCAATAAATGTTTTGTTTTGATATATAAATTGTTCGGGTTTTTTTCA